CCTAAAAAGAATGGTGCAAAAATATGAAGGGAACTAGCTAAACAAAATTCTACAAAACTATGCATCAACATAAAATGAATTAAAAAGCTATTAAAAGAGAAAATATACAAAAAAATATTAAAAATGCATGAAATGAAAATTTTTTGATTTTATAATTTTGTAGACATAAATGTAAAATAGGAGGAAAAATCCCCATGCCAAAATCTCTATTTTTCTATTTTATATGATTTTTCAAAGATTAAGGAAAAATGAAGAAAATAAAAATGAAAATGTGAAAGATGCGGTGCAGATAGCAATGATATGCAGTGCATTATCCAGATGGGCTCTAAATGGGGGTGTCATTAGTAAATGCACTAGGCCCATGATGTTCAGAAATTAAATGAGAAAAGAAATCAGAAAGAAAAGGGAAAACCCACGGTGTATTTAGCAACTAGAATCAGTGCAGATCCACAATGGGCCACGAGAAGGGGGGTGGCTATCAAAACCAACTTAAGCCCATGACCTCACTTTTAATGATACGCAGCGTTTGGTTGTCTTCAGAGTTCCTTCTTCACAATCTCAAGTTAAAACGTGGCCATTAGATGACGTCCTAGTCAATGAGTCAACCGTGATCCAAGGGCTGTGGACCCTTCTTCAACCTCCAGCCATGGAAATGGAGGGAAAGCTCTATTGAACAGAGTTTTGAACATCACAATCATCTTCGCTCGGGTTCTCTCATTTCTCCATCAAAAACCATGATCTAAAGCCCTAACCTGCTCTAAATCCAACCCTGAATCCACCCATGGTATTAGAATCAATTGAAACCTTATCTAGCTCTAAACCCGATCAAAGATCAAAACTATGCTCAAACATCAACTTTAACGATTCTTGAAATTGATTGGCTCAGAATACTCACCACCTCACGCTGGTTAAAACTTGCTATAGAACTCTCATCAATTCACCATATCAAACACGTTCTTGGTCCAAACAGAAATGGGGTCACTATCTTGAACCTCACCAAATGATCTCAAAATCTCCAGAATCCATCTCCTACTTGTTTCTAAACGTTCTATACTAACAAACTAACTTAACAATGCCTAAATTAAGGTGTAGAGTAAAAGTTGCAAACCTGGAAATTTCTGAATAACAATAGTAGCAAGACTCCACTTCAGCACCTCAATCTCTCCAGAATCACTCCTTGATTGATATTACTGCTTCTGTTTGCAAAAGATTCGATCCAAGAAGCTTGAATCTCCAAATCCGATGGTGACTTGCAGCTTCCCAAATCCAAATTCTATCTTCTCAATCCTCCACGATCTTGCTCTCAATTTGGTATGGATTCACTCAGTATGATCAATGGAAGATGTTAGGATTGAAAGAATCAATGGAAATGGTGTGGAATATAGAAATTGATTTCAACTTGCAATGGAAGAAAATGAAATGGCAATCTCACTCTCCTCTCTAATCTCTCACCAACCTTGCATCTGAGCAGCTTCTAATCAATATATAGGATGGTTCTAAACCATCCAGAACTTTCTGGAATCATCCAATGAGAATTTGAGATTCTCATGTCATGAGTTTTTGATTTCAAGCCATCTCATATACCAGCTTGTGTTATACCTCTTGCAGCAGCTTGTTCTCCTTTGAAAATCTCCTTAGATGAGATGCATGAGATGTTAGGATGCTTTGCTAGCTTATGCATTGATCTTCCTTATGTTTTGCATATGTACCTTAATATGCAAGTAACCATTTTCCAAAGCAAGTCCATGATTTAGACCTCAAATCAAAAATGTGGATAAACCATTGTTTCTAAAATGTTTTCTAGAGTCAAAATGGTATATTACATGCCATGGTTTGGATGTGTAGCTTGGAAATTTCAATTTCCAACTTTGACTTATTTAACTTATGCCTCCATTTTAGGTCATTTTTACCATTTTGAGCTACAAGCCTTTTCAACATCTCATGACCTCCTTACTAGCCTTAAAACATCATTTTAAGCAAGTTTTATGTTGAAGAGTTTTCCATTTGAAGCTTGGAAATAGGAGTTATGGCCTTATGCTTGAAATGACCTGTAATCTCCAAATGACCAAAATGCCCTTGACTTGTCAAAGCCATAACTTGAGTTATACAAATCCTATCAAGGACTTCTAGTAATCTCTAGAAAGCTAACAAGATAAGGAACAACATTCATGTTGACCAAAAGTTCATAGGAATCATCCTTCTTGGGCAAAGGTTTGATGCAAGTTGGGTGACTTTCAAGGCCCCAAATTCACATACCTCAGATGACCTGTAACTTGTCAAAGTCATAACTTGAGCTCTACAAATCCTATCAAGGACTTCTAGTACTCAAATTAAAGCTAAGATCAAGCTCTACAACATTCATGTTGGGGGAAATATGAGATGACAATAACATCTTGAGCTAAACTGCCTTGAAGATGGGGGTCAAACTAGGGGATTTTACACTGTCAAGCCTTAGAAACCCTAGCTTGAAACTTCTCAAACTCTTCAATCATGATGAGTTGACCTTGGAATCATCCTTATAGCATCTCAATGCATCAATCCATGATCACATTGCTCTCGGATTAGGTCTCAACCTTCTCCAAATCATCAGTTGACCTAGGGTTGACTCAGTCAAACCCTAACTGCACCACTCATGGCTGAAGTTTCTTAATCTTGCACAATGACCTCTCTAGGATTCATGATGGCTTTCAAGACATCTCATAAGCTCTCTCAAGGCTTCAAGTCCACATTCATGGCCTCAGAATCATCTGAGGACTCCCCACAACTCTCAAGTTAGGAGGCACACACCCTTGGTTTCAACCACTCTCTCTGAGAATCCTTTAGCTTCTCTGACAAGGATATCAACCCTTGAACACTTGAATAAGCTTCTTGGCTATCTTCAAAGTCTTGTGGTGCTCTTGATTGGTAATCATACCTCTTGATCTCCTGCATACATGTCAATGAAATGCAAATGATAATGCTAATGTAAAGAAATGTTGGTCAAATTTTAGGGTGCAACAGTATGGTGCTCTTGATGAAATGCTCTACCTTGCACAATAAACTTAAAGAAAAAAGACATATTTTTTGCATCTTGATTAGTGGTTATTTAAGCAATAAGCATATAAACATAAAGATAAAATACCCACAAAACGGTGCTTGGTGATTTTAAAAGCAAAAACCCAAAGGATGAGAGGAGGAAGAACCAAATGTGTGATCTTTTTTGTGTAAACATGTAAATGATAAGTGAGATCTTAGGGTTAAAAATTAGGGTATGACATTAAGGACAATGTAGCTTGATGTCCTTACTTGTCTTATCTTTTTGGATGACTTTTCGCTGTGAAGACTTTATCTTGAGATCATTCTTTAGTGATCTAGTTCTTAGTTTCTTTTTAGGCATCTTGTATATATTTTTGTGCCACTTTTAGTTCTTTTGTTTTAGGCATGTAATATGTACAAGGTGTTACTAGGAACTTGTATATTTCAGTACCAAATTTACAACTATGTATAATATGAAAATTCTAGACATATATTATATATGGGTGTTACAAAAGGTTCAATCATGTAAAGAAGAAAACCAACCTACTGGAGTGGGACTTCCTTCGGTATAAAAACTAAGATTTTTTCTGCTTTTTATTTCTTTTTTTTATTGCTGCTTTCTCTTTCACTCCTTCTCCGTCTCACTCTTTCTGTTTCTGTTTTATTTGAGGTAGTACTGGAATGTTGAGGGCTTCAAAGAGCGATTGGAAACTTATACTTTTAGGGTTTTAGTGTTGTTGTTCTTCAATGTGAAGAACAACAACTTTAGGAGTGTAATTTTGTAAATTGTGGCTGGATGTTTGTAATCTTAGGGTTTTGTTTTTATAGTGAAAAAATTAGGTCAAATTTAAGTTAGATCTTTTAGTTTTAGGAAAGATTTGTTCTAATTGATTTAGTTTAGGAATTTTGTGATTTGATTTTATGTATTTTGGCACGCTTCAAATGTAACCGAAAATGAATAATGGAAAGTGAAGAAACTTCTAGTGTTGTAGATCAACGAATCTGCCATTAATCTTGTAAAGAATTCAGTAATGCATGGAAGGAGTGAGCATATTGAGGCTAAATTTCACTTTCTAAGGGAGAACGTAAATTAAGGTAGGCTTGAAGTAGAGATTGTTCGAGTAAAGCACAGTTGACCGATATTTTTATAAAAGTATTAAAGATCGACAGATTCCTAACTTTAAAAAAGAAATTATGAATAGTTCACATTAATTATGATTAGTTTAATTTGTGTTTTGACAATTTGAATTATAAATATGTTGTGATATAATCCAAATAAATTAATTAGTTGGTTAGCAAGTTAATTAGTTTATTAAGTTAGCTACTTACCTTACAATGTGCAGATAACTTATAACAATCCAATAGAATTACTTTTTATTCTCTGTCTCATTCGTTCTCACCCAAATACATCAACACTAACACATTGTTCTTAGAAATGGACACTTAAGGTGAAATAGATAATTTCAGCCATCCGAATTGATTAGCAATTTTTAATCAAAAGGTTTTCAATGACCGCATGACTGCACCATTTCCTGACAAAAAGAATCCAACTCCTTTATATCTACTACTATAACACACTTTTTATTTTATCATTTACTTTATGAAATAAGCTTTAAACAACAAGGCAGTAGAAAAAAATAATCAGGAAAATCTATCTTTGAGGAAAAAATCGTCATTTACACTATAGTCATGGTGTGAAGAACTACTTGTCGTAGAATATAGATCACTGATTAAGTTGCTATCAATCAATCACATTCCGAAAGCAATTAGTATACAGCTTGATCCAAAAAACTAAGCCACAATAAGGCAAACTTGAAAGCATAAAATGGCTACTATACTATACTATACAGCCAAGCAGAGCACCAACATGTTCCTCTAGCTTCCTTGAAACATGTCACCCACCTGTGTCCAGCAATACACAAAATGAGCACAGAAGGATCAAGAAAGGAAAAAAGACTATGAATGACAGGAAATAGAGATTGCACCTAATGTAGAAACATGAAACCTAGAGAGCATAAAATGGCAACTGCAGAACCAAGCATTGCACCAACGAAGACTTGAGGTAGGGTGTTACCAACATCTTCTTCTAGTTTCTCAATATCTACTGGAGAGTCTTCAAACACTACATCCAGAAGCCTATTAACCGCCTGTGTCCAACCCACACGCAATTTTCAGTTCAAAACATTACAAACTAATAAAGATTCATGACTTCAACAATGGAATAATACATACCCGTGCTTGGATGCCAACATGTCTTCTAATAGCGACAGCATCGCACATCACAATGAGACCAAATCCCAAAGAAAGAGCAAACTGTGGACCAGAAACACCATGAGAGAGAGCAACAGAAGTGGCGAGAGCAGAACATACTGCACTACGAGTAGAAGGCATTCCTTGAGAAGCAAGCAACAGTCTGAAATTCCATTTTCTCTCCTTACAGAAGTTCCAGAAAAGTTTGCTTGATTGTGTGACAAACAAGGTAAGCATGGTAGAAACAAAGGCTTGGTTGAAAGGCAATGTATCATGAAAATCAGCGAGAGCATTCTCCATTAAAGCCACTCCTAAGTCTCCTCCGTTTTGGATGGTTAGCGCGGGAGGGAAATAAACCCAAGAAGAAGAACAAGAATCCATGAGAGAATTGGAAGAGTTTGTTTATGAAAGGAATGTGAAGTAAAGAAGATCACTGTGTCTGAATATAAAGAATGAACAACATTTAATCAACTTCTAGAACCATCCAGAACTATACAGAACCTTCTAGAAACATCCACAGCTATTAATCTTCTAGAATCATGGTAGCTATGCTATTAGTCTATTTTAGAAATTTTCATTTAAATAATTTATAGTTTAAGTACTATATTTAAAATATTTAATATTAAATTTATAAATTTAATAGGTTAGTTTATATCAACTGTCTGTAATTATATATAATTGGTAATCTACCATACACTAGTCAATTATTTGCTTTTTCTTTTCTAAATTTAATAGGTTAGTTTATATCAACGGTCTGATTCTTTTTTGTGTGTGGCTAAATCATGAAAATAGAAGAAGTTGACATTTGTATAAGTAATTAATATAATTTCATAAGATTATTCCTTTTAAAAAAGAATTGACTAATATTTTAATTATTAAAGTACTAAATAAAGCATCGAGAAAAATATACTCGATCGAAAGTGATGAAAGTAAAAAACCAATTAATATATTTTTTAAATGAGTCACTTATTATTATAGAAGTCTAAGCAAAAACATAACGCAATTATGTTCTAATTAAAATATAACTAATTCAATTAAAAATGTGAATTTTTTATTTATTAAAATAGATCAAAAGAATAAACAATAAACTACTGTATTTGAGGATGAATGTGGTATTAAAATATTTTGAATATAGTTAGATTAGATCTAAAATCTAAACTCTATTTTTTATTTTTAAGAAAAAATTTAATGCGAGTTGGATTAGATGAACTCATTAAAAGTTGTATATGTAGTTGTTTTTTCTTTAAAAAAGGGAAAAAAATTACTGAGTTCTGTTAGGGTTCTGGCGAACATGGCAAAGAGGGGCGTCGGCTGACCGAAGAGACAAACGATAATTACGCATTTTGTGATTGACCAAGAAGACGAGGCAACAAAAGGGGATGACAATCAACAACCGGAATCATCTGAGCTCGTGATTCTAAGGAGAACGATACGGAACAAAAACAAACCGACAAGGAAAACATAAAGAACCAGAGATACATGGGAGGGGTCCAATGACAAACCTTGGGTGGAAGTCATAACTGGTAATCGAAACCAAAATAGAGGTAGGGTAGCTGACTTTATCACCCCAACACTGGTCAATGGAGAAATTGAGATTGCAATCGATGACACGGATGTTGCTGATGAATTAGAGTATTCGAAAAATGCTTTAATTCTCTTTGCTTTGGGACAAACCCTTTCCATGAATGCAGTGAAAATATTTATGGAAAAAACTTGGAATTTTGTGACAATGCCTAAATTGTACTATAATGATGAAGTTATTTTATTGCGCGGTCCAGGGACAATGAAGATAAGGAAAATATCATGGCCCAAGGTCCCTACTTCATATATGGTAAACCTTTTTTCTTGAGAAATTGGTCAACAGACTTTGAGATTAAAGAGGATCTATCGTGTGTGCTCCCTTTGTGGATAACATTGCCAAACCTACCATTAAATTGGGGGGGTGCATTTCAAAGATCACAAGCGTCATTGGTAAACCAATCACAACAGATGAATGCAATGCTAAAAAAATCTGCATGTCATATGCACGGGTCTTGGTTGAAGTGGACGTAACTCAAAAGCCAAGGGAGAGGATATGTATCAAAGACCATAATGGAAAACATCAGGACCAACTGATTGAATATGAGTGGAGACCTGCATATTTCCAAACTTGCTTGCGTATAGGTTATGATTGTGCTTTGAGGAAAATTGCGCCCCACCAGAAGTCTACATCTACAAAAGTATGGAAATCAGTCCCTAATAAGGTTCCTGAAACAGTTATCAAAGAAGTAGATAAGAGCCAACTAGACAAAGAGAGCAATGTTGCAGAAAGTGACAAAACAACAAATGGTTGGACAAGGTCGTATCTAGTAAGTCTGACAAAAAGAAACAACATGTAAGTGTCACTCCCTAAAGCAACCAAGGCAAAAGGTATCAAAATAGGTTTACACCCTTATGGATTGGAGATTGTCCAACAGGGGGGACAATCATGTCCCGTGATTGTTACTTGGAACGTTAGGGGCCTGAATAACGAGGCTAGGCACAAGGAGATTAGTTCATATCTCTCTACATTCAATGTGCCTATTGTTGCCTTATTAGAGCCTAGGCTTAAAAAGCTCAATGCATATAGAATTAGGAAAAATCTTGGTGTCAATTGGAACTTTGAGGATAACTATAGAACACGTGATAATGGGAGGATTTGGATCCTTTGGGAACAGTGTGAGATTAAAATCAATATCTTGAAGACAACTGACCAATATATCCACATGGAGGTTTATGGTTTGGACCAGGTACTTCAATATACTGTCACAACCTTGTATGTTTTCAATCAAATTGAGAAAAGAAATGTGTTGTGGAAGGAAATTGAAACCTTGGGAAATAGCATTAGGTCCCCCTGGATTGTAATGGGTGACTACAATAATATACTTACTAGTAAAGACAGAGTTGGAGGGACCATGGTGACTGAATATGAATATAAGGATCTCACTAGCATGATGCATACCAATGGTTTGTTTAAAGTTAGCACAAAAGGGCCTCACTTCACCTGGTTTAACAAACATACATTAGGTGTGATCTACTATCTAATTTATAGGCTCATTGTGTTGTACCCCAAATTTTGACCCTTAGATCTTCATCATCATCCTAGGAGCATCATTTTTTGTTTATCTAACCATAACCTATTTCAAGATTGTCTTTGTCAAGATACAGGTGAGTTAGGGTTACATACAGTCAGGAATTAGGGGTTTCGATGGTTTGATCAGTCAATGTATTAGATTTATTTTCCATGAAATAAGTCTTCACATCATCAAGAATACTATGTTGGATCAACTATGAATCCAATTTGAGGTTGTCACCCAAAGAACAAGAGCAGTGCAGTTCAGGACCCCCGATTAGGGTTTCTAACTAGGAAAAGTCAACTGTTGTTGGACTTTTGATTTAAATGGTACTCCAATGATGGAATCATGGTCCATGAAGCTTATATGACTTATTTAAGTCCATCCAAGAAGTTTCAAGACCTCAGAGGACCCAGAACACCAACAGTCAATTCAGGGTTTTTCGATCGATCGATTCGTCTCACTAAAAAGTCAACTCATTGACCAAAAGTATTTTGACCCCAAAGTTGAAAGAAAATATGTTCCTAATTTTATATTACATCTAGTCTTAAAATTTTGTGACCATTGGATCAAGGATGGAAGAGTAATCGAAAAAGTCGGGAATTAGGGTTTTGAAAGGGACAAGACCATAACTTTTTAACCACAAATCCAAATGAGGTGGTTCAAAGCTTGTTGGAAAGGTCTTGACAAGCCCTAAAAAAGTGTAAAGGTGACCTATGTGCAAAGAATGAATAGATTTGGAGTTATGATCAAAATCATTACAAGAGGGGAAAAACACTTAGTGAAATTTCACATTTTAACACTTTTCAAGTCATGTTTTCAGCCAACTTCAAGGGTGTTTTTGACTTAGTTCCACTTAGAATTTGAAAATCCCAAAATCTTGAAAGTTGTAGAGCATAATGAGGGCTTCCCAAAAATTACAATAACTCCTCCATAGCATTTATGAGCTAGGAGTTTCGAAGGAGACAAGTTGGGTCCTCACACTTGAAATGCACAATATCAAAACTCAGCACAAACTAAACTCCCAACTATCCAATTGATTTCCAACCATGGATTAGCATCTGATGTGACATTTAAGAGTTTATGATGAGGAAAATCATAAGAATCTACAAGCACGACCAAGGTTTTGTCCAAAGATCATTATTTAAATGAATTAAAGTACAAAGGTACAATAGGAGAGAGATTGTTTTTGGCTGCAACATGGAGGATCTGTCCTTGCTATCTCTATGTCACTTCCTAAAAGCTCAATGATAGCTGGTTTTTGAGGCTAAAGGGCATTGGAAGCAAGCAAAAGATCTGCAGAGAAAATTACAATTGGATTTGCTAAGATTTTCCTTCCAAAATCACAACTTGCAATGTGTACTTCACAATCTGCCCTCATCTTTGCCTTGCCTATAAATATAGGCTTCCTCTATGCTAAACACACACCAGAGATTACTCAAAAAATTCCAAGAGAAACCAAGCTATCATCTTGCCTTGCTCTTACTTGAAAGTGAAGTAAAGCCATCCAAAAACCTCAAAAAGCTGTCTTGATCAAACTCCCTACCAACACCCTTTCCAACCATTTAAACACTCCACAAACCATCCACAAAATCCCTAAATCATATTTGGAAGGTGTTCCAACCATTAACTCATTCAAAAACACCATAACACAAAAATTCAACCCCTCACACCATGGATGTTGGCTTTTCTGCATAAACTGATAATACACACTGCCTAGACCAGTTCTAAACTTCTTGACACTTTTAACACCTCATATATATGTTATACCAACTTTCCAAGTTACTAAAAACCAGCTGCAACACCATTTATTGAAACTGTCATCAAGGGTTACTTGTTGCTTTAAAAGGAAGTAACTTCATCTTGCAAAGAAATCAACTTGAAGAAGGACTGTTCTGAATTTGCATTGAGAGAGTGGACAAATTTCTCAAAGGATTTTCAACTAAATAGCTTGATCACATTGGAAGTCTACAAGAGGTTGGTGATTTCAAGCTCTGCGTTTTCTTATTCGTATGATTTAGTTAGTACTGTTTAGAATCATTAGGCCATGTGTTTGAATTTGGTTTGAGACTGCTTGGACAGACCTGTGACTATTATGTGAAGTGTACATTTGAGTTTTTGTTTGTCACTCTCTTTGTGAAGTATGTATTTCTGTTTAGAATAGTTTTGGTAGGATTTTGTTATAGGTTTTAAGTCATGAACATATCCTCTGCATAATGTGTGATCACTGTTATTTCAAGGACTTAGAACTGCTAATCATGTCAGGCATACAATTAGTATTGGTTTCTG